TTCCCCCGGTTGTAGATTTTTCAGGATACTTGTAAGACTGTTTATTTTGTGGATTAGGACTACTAGAGTTCTTCCAAGCTTTTCTGTAATGAAGTTTATAGTCCTTGGTTTTAGTCCTAGATCCATGATCCACCTTGAGTTGGTTTCTGTATATGGAGTGAGGTGTGGATCTTGCTTGAGTCTTCTGCAGGTATTTTTCCATTTCTGTCAGCAACATTTCTTAAAAAGGCTGTCGTTTGCCCACTTAGCTGATTTCATCTCCTTGTCAAAAATCAGTTGACCATAAATAGATGGGCTGATCTCTGGGTTCTCAATTCTATTCCATTGATCTATATGTCTGTAATTGTACCAGTACCACGCTGTCTTAACCACCACGGCAGTGTAGTAGGATTTGAAATCAGGGAGTGAGATGCCTCCTACCTTTTTTTCTATTTTTAAGGAGTGCTTTGCTTATTCGGGGCTTTTTTCCAATCTAAATGAAACTGGAGATTACTTTTTCCATCTCCTTGAAGAATGGGATTGGTATTTTTATTGGGATTGCATTGAATGTGGAAATTGCTTTTGGTAGTATTGCTATATTCACAATATTGAGTCTTCCTATCCAAGAGCAAGGGATATTCTTCCACTTCTCCAGGTCTCTTTTTGTTTCTTGTAGTAACGTTTTATAATTTTCTTTGAAAAGATCCTTTGTGTTTTTGGTTAGATCTACTCCCAAGTATTTAATCTTGTGATTCACTATTGTGAAGGGTATTGTTTTTGGACATAGTTGACCAATTCAACAAAGTAGAGGATACAAGATCAACATACAAAAATCAGTTGGATATCTCTTCAGTGACAGCTGAACAATACATAACAGTATCTTTGAAAATTCCATTATTCATCTTTCTTGAGTGACTGAGTATATTAACAACAGATCCTGTGCTGCAGCAGTTGCCTATCAATATTATTCTATTATGTACCTTGCTGTTGAGCTGTTTCCAGTTCATAGGGACCCTAAACGCACTGCCCAGTCCTGCTCCATCCTTATAACCTTTATGGTGCTTGAGCCACTTTGCAGGCGCTATGTCAGTTCATCTTCTAGAGGATCTTCCTCTTTCTTTTACTCACCATCTATTTTTTTGTCACTGAAGAGATATCCAACTGGTGATTTTTGTATGTTGATCTTGTATCCTGCTACTTTGCTGAATTGGTCAACTATGTCCAATAGTTTTCTTGCTGAGTCTTTAGGGTTTTCTAGGTATACTATCATATCATTTGCATAGAGAGATAATTTTACATCCTCTTTGCCAATTTGGATACCTCCTACTTCCTTCTCTTGTCTTATTGCTATCGCTAAGACTTCCAATACAATATTGAATAAGAGAGGTGATAGTAGGCATTTTCCTCGTTCCTGTTCTTAAAGGGAATGCCTTTAACCTCTCTGTTGAGAACGATGTTGGCTCTCGGATTTGCATAAATACTTTTTACTATGTTGAAGAAATTCCCCTTTAATCCTATTTTGTTGAGTGTTTTAATCAGGAAAGGGTGTTGGATGTTGTCAAAGGCCTTTTCTGCATCAATTAATAGGATCATGTGGGGCTTGTTCTTTGCTTTGTGAGGAATTACATTGATTGTTTTCCTTATGTTGAACCACTCTTGCTATCCTGTTATAAATCCCACTTGGTCATGATGGATTATTTCTTTGATGTATCGTTGAATTCTATTGGCCAGTATTTTATTCAGTATTTTTGCATCTATGTTCATAAGAGATATTGGCCTATAGTTTTCTATTTTGGTGGTGTCTTTTCCTGGCTTTGGTATCAAGGATATGTTTGCTTCATAGAGTGAATCTGGGAGAATTCCATCTTTCTCTATTTTCTGAAATAGTTTATGTAGAATTGGTGACAATTCTTCTTTGAATGTTTGATATAATTCACTTGTAAAACCACCTGGTCCAGGGCTTTTTTTGGTCAGAAGTTGTTGTATTGTCATTTGATTTCTTGACTGCTGTTTTGCTGATTATGTATCCAAGTAAAATTAAATCCTTTGCAACTTAAATATTTTTTCCATATTATCACATTTTTCATTGGTCCAGTGGTAACATATTTTTTCCTCCTCCTCCTCCTCCTCATGTTGAGGTGCAATGAATACTGAAAGCTACAGTCTTTGAGCTTCATCAATAAGTGCTTCAATCTTATTTTCTGCAAGTAAGTACAAAGTATATACAAAGATACTGATACTAACAGGCAACATTAATGAAACCAGGGAGGGGTAAGTTAACTTATACCAGAACCAACATAAATAAGATGCAGACTTTGAAATAGAAACTTGTCAGAAGCTGAGAACTACTGACATAAAATTTTCCATTTGAACCACTTTTTTTTTGGAACCACTTTTAATGAACAGTTTAGTGAGATGAATTATAATCACAAAGTTGCATAACCATCATAACTATCTATTTCAATTGTTTTAATCACCTCAAATAGAAACTCAGTACTTCCTCAGTATAATACCTCCACATTCCACCCTCTCCCCAGCTGCTGGTGAATTTCTTTTCTGTACATTTAACTATTCTAGATACTTCATGTAAGTGGAATCACAAACTATTTTTCTATTACATGTTTAAAATACTGCTTCAAGCAACAAAATTTTTATTGCACTAACCAAAAGAAATCCACATTATTAGACAGAGTAAGTAAGCAAGATAATATTTAACACTGGTAAAATGTCTATGAACATACAGGATCCAGGAGAATATGACTGGGACTATGTTTCCATAAACATTATTTTACATTTTATAGCATCATCAGAAAGCCTGATAGAAAATAAAATTCTGAAACACTTTCCTAGACCTGATGAACCAGAATCTCTGGGGAATTTGTGGTTTAACAAGCTTTCCAGGTGATCTTCTGCACAGTAATGTTAGAAGAGGAATGTATTATAACATCCTACTCCTCAAGCATTTTCTATAGGCACATAAAATACAGAATAAGAACATTCAACTTCCTAGAAAAAGAAATCAAACACATGTCTGTCTCCTTGTGCACACATACTTGTCAGAGAAAATAAAGTCAAGGTAAAAACCAGCAAATAAAAATATTAAGAAGGGTTTAGGGCTGTTGGACAAAGGGTTGCTATGAGTCACAAATGACTCGGTGGCACATAACAACAACAACAACAAGAAACACAGATACTTAATAGTGGAACGAGACAACATTCCCTGGGGATTCCATATTCTCAAGAGAAAACATGGAATAATTTCTTTTAGAATAAACAGATCGTACTTATAATTTCATGGAAAGCTATCATAAAATTTCGTATAAACTTTTGTTTAGTTTTAAAACCCTAATGATATATTTCACACTTCAATTATAAAAATGAATAAAAAAAGTATTTTTAAAAAGGTTGTTTTATTTCATTTCCATTATCTACAAAATCAGGAAAAACCTGATTTTGATACTATTCCCCTCTCATATATCCTTAGGTCTGCTCATTCTTGACACAGGCCTGGCTAACTTTGCATTATTTAAGATTGTTTACCATGTAAACAAAAGGTTCAAGGAAGTTAATGATGGCTCTTCCTTTTATTTCTTGTAGATACTTTGCTATTTTATTATTACTTTGTGTCAGTATTCCTTAGCATTTAAATTGACAACAAGAAAGAAAAACAGCTGTTAGTTATCCACCTGTCAGTTGTTATAAGAAGTAAAATGGGGAAGGAGGTTGGAATTAATGGTTAAAATGAGAAATTTGAAGATAGTAATAGTTAAGTCACCTAGATGCTATTATTAACAAGGAGTGACAAATTTGTTTTTCTGTATATTAAGTACAGTAATGAAACTGAATAGTACCTCAGATGAGGATCAAATAACTACCTTTAAAAAAAAGAGCTTAAAAACTCTTTTAAAAAATTTTTTTAGAGATTGGTTATGCTACAGAATAAATGTCTAGAAAGAAAAATGTGTGTTTTGGTTACTACCGTGTCATAGGAACAATTTAGCACTCATCACCACCAAGCAATGGGACATGACCTATAGGTCTCTTTACTAGCTTTACAGTTGTAATTAAGTAATTCTCATTCTTGATTTCCAGGTACCAACTGATGGCTGGCAGTATAACATTTGGATTTGGTTCTGATCATTCATTTGTGAGTCCTAGTTTGAGGACATTCTCATATCATGAACATTTCCAAGAACATCTAACTCAAATCTGAGCACAGAAAAATTGACTTAGAGAAATTAAAATAGGAGTCAGTGGCTATTGAATTCTCCTCTAAGTATATAAATTGCTTCCAAATACCTTTACGGTACTGAAAAAGTAAAATACTACAGCAACATTTGTGGGTGCTTGTATAGATTTAAAGAATCTTGATGGCCAATTAAAATTCTGTGTGAAATGTTATTCAAATACCTTTAAATAAGTAGTATCAAATTTCATATTCCAAGTGCCTACATTTTCACTCAAATATAAAAATTTAAGAACAAAGCCAAAAGAGAAGAAACATTTGGCATAGTTCACCTTTTCACAATTATGATTAGTGTTAATAAACAATTTAGTTTGTCTGAAAATGCTGTTTATTCAATAGCCTCTAATAAGCATCAATCCTTACATGCTATTTTTTTCCTTCACAAAATGACATAAACTCAAGCCAATAAAACAGTAGAAGATCATTTTTATGTGTTGTTGTTATGGAGATTGAGAGCAGTTAAAAAACCTAATAGCATTCACCTATGGAAGGCTGTGGTGGGTTGTTATGGCAACATAATCCTTATAATACAATGAAAAGACAGTAACTGTGAAGATCTAAAAATAGCTATTTCCTTGGAAAAAATAATAGCTTGGCCAAACATCTAAACACAAGGTAAAAAGGCCCAATTATTTCAGTGGAAGTCATATTTATGATATTTGTAAGATTCTGGGCATATGATCTACTTATTACTCTTTGTCTTGCCCCCCAGCTTTGCCCATTCAAATGCTTCAATAAGACATTGGCACATAGGAGGGGAGAACACAATGAATACCTTTATAAAAGAGAACCACAATCTTCTGAAAGGCTTTCATGAAATGGATGTTGTCGTAACAGTATTCCTGAACCTTCTGGAGGAGGATCAGCTCCGATTGGCCTTGAGAGCTGAACACAGCCAGTAGGGGAGCATATTGCTAAAAGAGAAATGAGAAAGTCTGTTAAAACTATTACATGTAACGTCAAGCTAATCTAGAGGTTTGATTAGAAAACATTCTCTACTAAGATTATCTTCTTATTGCATTATCATGTCCAAAAGAAATTATTTTTATCTCAACATCTTAACAATTTTTCTCGTATCTACTAAAAGAAGATCCCAAATCCAAGATTCTCACTCTATGAAAGAGAACTACTATGCCTTTTCAGAAAGATATTATGCCATGAGACAGAGTAAGGTTATCTGAGGTTGCTGCTAGACCTTTAATACCGATGGAAGTGACCGTGCTATTTTGTCCTTACGGCTTTGTTCTTTTGTCCCCTTTCCCTGCAAATGTCCTTGCCTTCCAGTCACTGACGCATATCCATTGTTTCGTGTAGGACTGATTCTGTTCCACTTATCTTTCCCCAGAAGCCTTCTCTGATTAATTTAACCTGCAGTTTAGTCATCGCACTGTTCTCACAAACACTGAGAGTTGTTTAACTTTATGTTTTGAAACCAAGTTTTTCCAATTCTAAGAATTCTAATCTATAGAACAGAAGCCAATGGTTTGGTTAGATTTTACTTTCACCTGTAAGCCTATATGGGACTATTGTGTGGATTTTTTTAAATTTTGTTTTTCTAAATAAGAATTAATCTCTATACGGTATAGAGGCTCTCACATGTGAAACATTTTGGGCAGCAGGAGATCTGAAAAGAAATAAACAGGAATTCAATGTTTGGGCTGAGTCTTGGGGTGGGGTGGGGGTATGGACTGCAGTAGTAAGCCTTTGGTCCTACTCTTCAGAGCTGAGGTTGGCCTGACTGCTGAGACAGGGCTTTGTTACCTTCAGGTGCTTGAGGGCTTGCTCAGCAACAAGCTCCTCCTTCTTGTTCCATTCTACAGCATTCATAACACAGGTCCACAGAAGACCAATCACTGCCGTTTCTGGAAGGTCGTTCCTCTTCATTTCTTCTTTGATATAAAGCACCACCTAACAGCCATAGAAAAAGTGGGTCAGAGAGTAACAAGCAGATGGAGAGTGCCTCACCCGTTGCATTGTCAGGAAAAAAGTCTGCCAGAGAGGAATATTCTGTCAGTTTCTCCCTTCCAAGGGTGTATTCTCAGACTGCAATAGGAGAAAAAAATGACTTGCTCTCAAAGCAAATTTAATTTTAGTCCAAAAATTAAGAGGCTTAGTTCTGCCTGGAAACTGCTGGATAACACAGGGCAAGAAGGAATCTTTGTTTCCTAAGAATTATTCTTTTATATGCAAAAATCCCTTCAGGTGAAGCAGAATAAGAAACCAGTATAGCCCTCTCAGGTTTTGGAGAAGGAGAAGGCAACAGAGCTATGAAATTTTTTAGCTTCTTCCTTCCCCATAATTCAAACTTTAACAGACACCATTGATGATCTTCAAACCCTAGCTTGAAGCTAACTTATAAATAAATAATAAAGTCTAAAATTATTATTTTTCCTATTTGCTACCTATCAATTTAGCAATCCTCAGCAAGTAATTCCACACAAAATTATATTTAAATATTCAAATTCATCCAAAAATCTGACTGTATGTAATCTATGTCAATTCAGTTCATTGTCTGATATTGGTTTAGCATTTTTTTTTTCCTTTCAAATAAGGTTGCATGTGTAATAAAAGACATGTGTTAGACTGTCTGCATATCCCTTCCTTATAACATATGGGACCTAGGCCAGGAAGTTTTCATCACTTCTTCAAGATGTTAGAGACTCTTAAACGATTAAAGACAGTAATGTATTTCAAGGATGGGAAGAAGCTGGGCAATCTCAGCCAGCAAAGTGGCTGTAAAATTAAAGTAAAACCTGTAAAGAAATGTGATCTGTATCTTAAAACATCAAAATGCTTCTCACTCCAAGGAAAAAGTTCAAGTTTTTGTCTAAAGGAACTTATCCTTCTTGCTAACTTCAATGCCATAAACCTGTACGACGCCTATTCCTTTATCATCTCCATCTGATGTTGTTGTTGTTATGTGCCCTGAGTCCTTTCCGACTCATAGCGATCCTATGCACAACAGCCCTAAACCCTGCTCTATCCTG